TCTCAATCAAATGACGATAAAAAAATTTCAAATGCCTCTGATTGAAATTTTATTGAGCATACCGAGATGAGTTTTTAGTTTGATTTCTTAAATTTGAATTGGTTGTCATTCAATGCGAGACCAGAATATTAAATTTGTAATTAAGAATATATAAAAAGCAACGAAAAAAATAAAAACGTTAATTATATCGAATAAAATAATATTGAATCAAGAATTGTGCAGCTAATGTTCTAAAAATAAACAAAATTAAAAATAAAAAGCTATTACCTATTTCCTATTAAGAAATCGTTCCAGGCGCTGTAATCGTTAATTTAATGGACACATAGCAATGTTTATTTTCAAATTACTCAAAATGGAAATTCTCATTTTCTAATTTTAGACAACTCAAAGGTATTGGATTGACTGTTATTCTCTATCACAACATCATACAGTGATTCCATAAGCAAGAAAAAGTAATTTTTTGGGGTAAATTTATGTCTCTACTCAACATTCTCTGCCAAATTAGTATATCGATTTGAGGTAATTTATCTGTTCTCCATTAAACACATGACTTTACTATCTCAGTTTATAAAATTTAAAGGAGAACTTTTTGCCTTGCTTTATTGAAAGCATAGCAATAACATACCCGCAGATAAGATGACTATTTTTAATATTTATGCTTCGATATCGAATTTATTGAAACTAATGGTTTGAGATATGAAATGTTTGCGAAAAGCAAGCAGAATAAGTAGAAAGTTTTTATTTATTTATCGTTTAATTTTACAACATTAACCGTAGTACAGAGAATAACAGTTCCAACAAAATTAACACTTTGCAAAAGTTTTTTCACAACGAAAAAAAATCAGTTGAATGAAAAAAGAAAAAAATTATGGCCGAAGTAATGTGCAAATTTGGATATTTCAACCAGGGGGGGCCATAGGGGGCCCACCCCCCCCCCCCCCCCTACGAAAATCTGATAATTGTTTTATTAAGTATTTATAGAGAAAAACCAGTTAATGTAGAGGAAGTAATGAAAGAAATGTCAAAATCAGCACGAACAATTAAATTTAATGTATAAATAATGAATTAAATATTTAAACCAGAGGTCGAAGCCGACTTGAGTTCGCTCCGGTTCGGCTAAAAACCGATTGATTTTTGTATGGAATTTTTTCTGATTTCACTTGTGAAGTATAACTTTTCATACAAAATTCAATCGGTTTTTAGCCGAACCGAAGCGAACTCAAGTCGGCTTCGACCTCTGATTTAAACTTATGAAGAATGAATATAGATTTAAGGATACAAAATAACGGTTTTTTAATTTTCGAAAATGGGCCCGCCCCCCTTAAAAATTTTCTGGCTACGCCCCTGATTTCAAAATAAAGTATCTTAAGCAACTATTGTCAATTCTGTTGGGAACAACGTGCTCTTCAATAAACCATCAATAATGTAATTTGCTTTTTAAAACCTTGAAAGTATTGACACAAAGTCATCGACTTTGAAATAAAATTTTATATTATTAAATAACCGCAGTAGAAAAACGTATAAAATACGCTAGGGTATCGTTTTAAAATTATATGAATTATTATAAATGATTTTTTCGACTCCTTTTCTACATTTATCATAAAATATTTTTAAAGAAATAATATGACCCTCTCATCTCAATTAGTTTGACATCATGAGTCTACGACCCTCGAAAGGTAGGTTGTGCAATCTCTGTTTCAAGGTTATAGCTAAAGAAATATATTCAATCGTTCATTGAACTTTACAAAGTATTAAGTATTCAAAATGAATTTTTTTTTCATTCATGCAAATGGTTCAAATTTTCAATTTGGATGAATATTAGTGAATAAACTGTTTTAGAATAGTAAAATTAGAACTACTTGTAAAATGTTTATGTATATAAAAGGAGGAATTTTTTGGTGCACGAATGTAAGATTTTTGTATGGAGAAAGTCAAGTTGATAAGTTAAATGCGTTTGTTTTGTCAATATGACTGTTATTACGCCCCGAGATAAGTGATATCAATTTACTTCAATTCATGCTACAAATTAATCTAATAAAGATTATATTTTATTACTTGATTGCATCGCACCATCATTGTTTCGTCCTTTTAGTTTGACATTTTTATTTGTAAGGAACTAGTTCTTATCAATTTATTGGCTTAGAAACAGCCAGGGTTAAATTGCCATCAGACAATGACATTAGTAAATGTGTGTAAAAGTTGGAGACATAAAAAAGAGAGAAGAAAAAAAACTTTCCATGACATCATCGAAACCGCCAGCGAGGAGGCAACAGCACGAAAATAACCTGTTTTCTTAGTTTTTGACACATTGTTATTGTTGGCCTGTTGCAGTTACTTGAGTTAAAACTTGTATATAATGTTCCTCTAAATTTCCTGTAAAGTCAACTACTACCACGTGAATGTCGAAAAGTGGCTTCATTAAAATCAATTTACTGTTTATCTTATCGCAAAAATTCTGTTGTTTAATGTATGATTATGTGCGACTAGATTGTGGCTTTTTGACAGCAGTAAAAAAACAAAACTAAACCGAAAGTTTGTTTACAAGTAAGTCTTTTGTCCTCTTTTGTTATTCTTTAAAAAATTTCTTCATGTATCAATATAAATTAAACAATAGCGTCATTTCTTGAAAAGAAATGCGTTAGAAATAATATATCTTAGGTTAAGATGTTAGCTTAGCACAAACTATTCTTAGTTGCATTTAAACCTCAACATATTTTTTTTCCACAGCTGAAAATAACTTATTTTTGCTGTGCATTAGTAAAAACATATAGTCATATGCCGGTTATACTTTGTTGAAGTGTTATCAACACAAAAAAAAATAAATTTGTTATTGTTGTAGCTATTTTCGTGCAAAAAATTATATTTACATTGATAATGGCACCAGAATAATAATAAAAACAAAATAATGAGTTCATCAAGCAATAAAAACATTAATCAGTAAAAGAATACTGAATAAATGTAAGTTTAAGGGGCATTTTTAGATTTTTAATGTTTTGAAGCTTAATTGATAATTCTTAAGACAAAACCAAATATCAGACAAAAAAAATTACAATAAAGCTTAGGAGTTCTCGACTGTCTAAAGACATAAAAGCATATAAACTTTAAAATTCACCGAATGACATTGAAAAGAGAGGAAAAAAAACAAAACATCAGCGTAGTATATAACATCAAACCCTTAAAAAATGACTAATTTTCTTCTTCCTGTTTTCCGACTCTCGTTTTGTACTAAGCTTCAAGGCAAAACACATCGTGGTTGTTATGTAATAATACGCAATAAACACATATTTTTCTGGTTATTATGGTAAATAGGTCCTGTAGATCATTCTTGTTCAAAGGCTTTACTCATATGACAATAAAACTCAATTTAAAGGTTTCAATTCAGTTCAGTGAGCCTGATAATTTTTGTAACAACTACATAAAAAATAAGTAAGTAATTAAAAATCAAGTCTCGAGACTGAGATAACAACTTAGCAATAGCCGCTTCTATCCCGGTTTTATTGCTACGACTATGGTTTCTAATAAATTAGTGCCGAGAAGTAACGAAAAAAAATTTTTTAAGTATGAATAATAAAGTAAATACTGCACACACATCGTAAAATCTGCCTCAATAACAAACACATTCTTCTTCTATTGTTTCATTAAAATCTCAATTCACACATCGAGTTCTATGGCATTTTAAACTTACAAAAAAAAAAGTATATAAACAATTTTATAGTTGAATAACGACTCTGTCTATGCGAAAATGAAAGAAAAATTGCATAATTTTGGTCTGACTGTACTATTCTCACTCCTTTTAATATTATCAAATATATTTCATCAACTACGAGCAATTTTGATTTCATTTGGTATATATGCGAGAAGTTATTTTTTTTTCTGGAATAGAGCCAAAACCAGTTATTACAATTTTTCTTTTAGTCTTTCATTCGTAACAAGAACTGGCAACAGTGCCTCTCTGTCTTACCCACAAAAAAAATTGAATTTAATAAAATTTATTTTCACTGAATTTCGCAGATATTAATGATGTATTTTGATATTGGCAACTAGTTATGAACACAATTCAAACTGTTTTTGTTTTCAAATTCCAGTTAGATGAAGAAAATCACGTACACAAATCGCACTTTTTGATTTTTAATTTTTTCTCATCAATCCAAATTTATACACTTTCTGATACTTTTGATCTTCAATCACAATTTTTCTTATTTAATTTCATTAAAATTTTAATGATTCATATTTCTTTTGTGCGTCAAAAAATCTTTTCTTTTTTTAATAAAAATGTGAAAAAGACAAAAAAAGTTATTGTTGGTCTCGCGAGCTCTGCCACATGAATGAATGAAAAGGAAAAAGAGAGATATAGTAAACACTCGATATAAGTATTTCGCAAGTAATGTCTCTTGCTGATGTTGTTTTCGTTTTCAATTCCGATATTGCTTATGTCGAATGTTTTGGACGTAAATGTTACTCTTTTTCAATTGAACATTTTTGATTCCGGTGATAAAAATTAATGATGATTATTGTTTTCTTTTGTTTGTTAATTTTTGACAATAGTGGTGGCAATAAAAATAGAAAAAGTTTATCATACTGAGTAATAAATTACTAATTCTGAAAAGCAGTAACTAGTCATTTACGTATTTATGGTGCGAAACTAGAAAATGGATAAAAAACATAGAACATTATAAAAACATGATTTGAGTAAAAAAATTGGATCATGAACTTTTCGGTGAAATCAGCTGTTAGTAAAACTGGTAGTTGAAGTGGAACAAGCACCTGAAAACCCTTGCCGCACAAAATTACGAACAAAATCATAAATCAAATCATTTCTTTTTTCATAAAATTTGCTTAATAATAAATATAAATCATCTAACAATCAGTAGATGGCACTAGTAGTTCACAAAAAGAATTATTCAAGTCAACAGAGGATATACGCGTATTTCTATCATATTTACATTTTATGTGAATTCAACCGTAATAAAACATTAATAAGTAAATCAAATTGTACTTACTTTGGGCTGCCAATTGTTGTTGGTGTTGCTGTGCAGCTCTCTTAAAAAATAAACAAAATAGATTTAAATTAAAAAAATGTTTAGCAGTTAGCATATTTATATGAGGTTATTACAACGCGCAACATTTTGATACCGGATCGTTCTAAAGCTTCAACATCAAGACTCCGACTTCTTTGTTTCGGCTGCTCATAATGTGATTGATGGTTTGGTAAGCGAATCAATTTAGTAAAATATGACGACATTATTTCATTTAACTTGTCTTTTGTATGTTTTATTTAATATCAGCAAAATGCTCACTGATGAGTATAACAGGCGTTTCAAATTTCTTTTGACTTAATAATCAAGAATATTTTTTAAAATTTATTCCATTTAAACATTTTTCTCTGAGTTTCTTATTTCCCAAGTTGCAATTGCTTTTAAAAACTTTATTTCCTTGATTTATTTTATTTAAATTTTTTCAATGAAAAGTATACTCTATTCATTTAAGAATTCTTTCAATCACTCACTGTGGCATGTAAATAGCACATGAAAATAACCAGAACAACGAAAAGTGTCTATAGCTCGAAGTAATGTTGAAAATATAAACAAATTTATGCGAAATTAAATGTCCAAATTGAGAATTTCCTTCTCGTTCCTGAGATAGATCAGCAAATCCGTACATATGAAGCAGCACATCAATTTACATATTTACGCTAGTCAATTTAAAAAAGAAATTGAAAACACGTTTTCATTAAATAATTATATAGTTGTTTGTAAGCTCTCCATGTTGACAAATTGAAATTTAAATTAAAGCTTTTTGTATGCCGAATTTGTTCTGATCGCAGCAAAAAAAAAAAGAAACAGAAAAATAATAGAACGAAGACAATAAAAAATTTGAGCATTTTCTAGTGTGCAACAAAAAAGGTCTGTTAATAATATGAATTAGTGTTTGAGCATCTAAAATATAAAATTAATTGAGAACGTTGATGAAAAAAATAAATAAATTCTCTCAAATTTTATAGTATTTTCATCGCAAAAACACCCGGCAACAGCAGACTGCATGAGACAGTACAAGAACAAATCCATAAATATTTTTTTTGTACATATCATTTTTTAAACTCTGTTGTTGTTCGTCCTTGAGTTTCTTTTCCTCAAAATATCGTTTTTTTGAATTTTCGATAATAACACGATCTTGAAGTAGTCTACAATCTCGACACTTATCTAAAATGTCTTTTATTATTATTTTGTATTGTTTTACAACGTAGCCTTATAACGCAAAAAATATAGCACTTTTAGCGAACAAATATTACGAAAAATGTCAATTGTGGCAAACATTGTCAAGATAATATTCTAGAAGCACATGATGTGTTCTCTCATCACCTTATAGCACGTCACTAAATAAACATAGGCTTTAAATGATGATAAGCCGTCCCCCAACAATTGAAATTATTTAATAGTCGCGACTTGCGACTTCAACGAAAATGCATTTTTTTCGGCAAACAATTTAAATTTCAATTGACTAATTTCATCTCTCATGTGACAGTTTGCAATGTTCGTAACAAATTTCAGACAAAAAGTTTTAATCTACTGATGTAATTTTTAATGAGCCTCATTGAATTCTGATCAATTGAAATAAGAATTGGTAAGATAAACGATGCTTAAATTGACACTTGACATTTCTCTTGGAAAAGAAATCGACAACATCATTCCTAAAAGTGTGTCACTTTGTATGTGCATAAAAAAATTAAGCGCAACTCGTGTCATTTTATATCAGTAATGTCCAAACTGTGTGCCACGGACCACTGTTGTGCACGAGATTTTGTTCGGAAATGATGCGAACCGCATGATGTGTCCAACTTTGGTCATGCCTTACCCCTAAGGCTTGCCGTGGTTCAAAAAGTTTGTACAACACTGTTTTATATCATATGCAATTATTACACTCAGGCTAATTTCTAAGGCCCACAAAAATATATTCACATGATCAATAACGGCTTGATATGTTAAAATGACGCAACTTTCTGACACATTCAGTTAATTTTTTTTTTGTCTTGTCATCCGAAGAACAGGATTCTTAATCATGAAAGAGCTAAAAATAGAATCGCTACATTCTGGTTTATTCTTCTTTTTCATCGATCGTTTCCCATTAGTTCACGTTTTATTCTCTTTGCACCTTCGCTGCTTGCCCATAAACCAGCTCAAACACATTTAAATTTGCATAAATTGTTAAAAACTTAGTTTTTTGTTTCTGTTTATAAGCATATTACCATACATAAACACTTTTTGACTTGTAAGGGGCTCGCCAGCCTGCGTCATTTGTTTTTAAAATGATTTAACTTGTTTATTCGAACTAATGTGAAAATTAAATGCTTAATAGTCAAAAAAAAAATTTGTGATAAGTTCTCAAGTTTTTACTTATTTTCCTGTACACGTTCAACAAGTGTTTACTTTATGACAATATAATCTAAACATGTATTCAATAGCTTTAGATTTTCAATCTAGTTTTACACTTCAATAAGTTTTTACATTGACCAATAGACACTCTTTTTGGTTTTATCAGCAAACTTTTTTTTATAAATCGCACAACAAAGGCAATAACAACATAAAACAATTAAACGAATATATCTGTTAAGCGGATAGCACACGACTGAATAAAAACGGTGTGTTGATTATTTTTTTAATTTTTTTTTTTTTTTTTTATTTTTGTATTTGCGATCTGAGAGCACGCGGAGAACTTTTTGTCCAATAGAGTAAGAAACATGTTTTTTGTTGTACCCATCATGATGATAAGTAATGTTTTAAAGAGTAAAAATATGACGGGAAAGAGAGAAGTAAATATTTTTCTATCCTCTGCTGTTTTAAGCCGGCAAAACCTTTTTCTTTTACATCGTATGATCAGGTTTAATGCATAGTTTAGTATTATAAGAAATGATTTTATTAATCACAACTTTCAAAACAGGTAAAGCTGCAATTTTTTACCAGCAATCTGCCTGTTTACTGATCTTTTTTTAAACTTTGAATCATAAAGCTTTTGAGTGTTTTAACCAAGGCAGCAAGTCAGTGGGTAGGAGAAGGAGCAATAGAAGGTTCAATTATGACTTTTTTTAAAAAATACATCTGATTTTAAAACTGTTTAAAATGCGCTTTTAAAATACGTAAATGACTAAGTCTATACAGGTTTGCTTTTTGAAGAGTAAACAAAATGTCTACAAGGTAAATATGAATAGTCAAAAAAAAAATTGTGAATCAGAATAATTCGTTCGTGAATAAACAAAGCTATTAAAATAAATTCTAATCCTTCCGATTCAATCGTATTTTTTATCAAATTAGTTGACAAATTATTAATTTTGGTATGCGGCAACGATCATTAATTGTAAATGTTTCGTCTGTGACGCATGAAGATGATTTTTATTGAAATCTCAGCTTACCAGTCAATAGCAGAAAATTATTATTAAAAGATATATTTGCAATAATTCATTACGCTCTTACGTACAAATAATAAATAATAATGATCGAACAAAAAAATATGACTCTTTTGACATGGATATTAGACTTTGGCTGGATGAGTTTACTGAGCAGAGAAATCTCTTTATTCATTCCTTAATAACTTTTTATTTCTTTTATGAAAACGGAAAGAAAGCTAAATATAACGAGTATTATAAACTTAAACCATCAATCACAGTTTTGTTCTTTTTTACATGTAGATGTCGCAATGAACGTTTAGAAGACCATTAAAAATTTCAAATTAATTTTTATAAGAACGCATTCTTCAACGTCCAATAATATGCAATGAATTTGATTAAATTTGTTCAACTACTTACAGCTTTACGTTTATCAGCCTCTGATACAGCGGAATTGGAACGGTGTCTAAACAAGTCCATGACTTTTAGCATTGGAGATCGTGACTGATCAGCTCGTCTTACAGCGGTAACTGTGTGATAGTACTATAAAATGAAATAAATCAATTACTATCTCATATCAAGGTTAAAAATAAATTCATCTTACCCTTGCATCGCTTCCACTTCCTACATGCGGATGAGCGCTGCCATCCTTTACCACTTTCTTAGGTTTCCCCTCTGGAGCTTCTGCCGCTTTTCCGTTATAGATTGCAGCTTTCATACTATTCATAATACCACCACCACTTCCAGAGCTAACGCTATCTTTATCTGATCCAGTAGACTTTGTTTCTTTCTCTTTCTTTCCGTCGGAGCCCTTCCGACGAAATACGTCGAAAAGAGTTGGTCTCTTGTTTGGTGACGCAATCCCTAAAAACGAACAAGCGTTAAAAATAAATTTTAGAATGAATAATTAACGTATATAAAGCTAGTCTGTATTTACCATGAACAGTAAATTGATTTGTTACGGATTCTTCACCACTCTTTCGTCTTTCTAATGATCCTGATCGACCGCCAAGTCGCTCATTACTCTTAGATAATTTTTCTAATTTTGCTGCTTCCTTCTCACGTTTTTCAGCCTCCTTTTTCACTTTAAGTGCATCTTTTTGACGTTCCTTCTCCTTCTGTCTAGCCTCTTTTTCATATTTTTTTGATTTTTTGTACTGTTGCGTAGTCGGCGCACTTTGAGGACGCGCCGTTGAAGTTGAAGCACCATCTGTATCCTATTGAAGTAATAAATTCATAAAAATCTTTTAAATAATTGAATTTAAATTCGCGTTAAAACTCAATATGCAATAAAATAAATTATACGATAATTCATTACCACCCTCAAGAAAAATAGACTTACATCTATTTTATGATTACTTCCCCCAATACTATCACTACTACAGTCCATAATCTTATCATTTCCTGAATTTTGTTCATTCAATTCAGGTCTCCGAATCCAAATATCACTTAATGGGCGAATATTTGAACCATCTAATGACTTTGTGCTTGTTGTGAGTTGATTTTGAGATGTACGAATTTCTACAAGAGATGTATCGAAATATCTATGATCTAAATGTGGATTTAAAATGCCTTGTGGTGAAAAGAAGCTATTAATGTTCGTTCTTGGACCTGATGGACATGGAAAATGTATTGTCTGTGAGTTCATCTCAGCCGAAATCTCTTTCAATCCGTTTGCTTCATATCGGATTTTTTTCGGTAATTGATTTGTTAAAGATTTCTGTGTTGAAGGAGGTGATGGTGTTTTTTTAAGAATCGAAACAGGTTGTTTGATAGCTGTGGAATTGTTATCTTTACTGTCTTGCTTAAAAACATCGTCTTCATTGGTCTTTGTAACAACAAAACGATTTACTGGTCCACTTATTTCCGATATATCAGGTTTAAGAATTGTTCCATTTGCTGCTGTTATGATTATAGTAGGCCTTGTTTGCTTTTCTAGATCTATTTCTTCATCTGACTCAGATTCCTCTTTGCATTCTGACAATCTTCGTCGTTCATAAAATGGAATCATAATTGATGGTAATTGTTGCCCATATGCTTGAAGATTTGTTTCATCTCCAGATGACGCAACCACATATTCATCATTATCATCACTATTGCAATTTCCATTTGATGGAGTGGATGTTTCATCCTCACTGTCAGTATTATACGAATCAACACAATGTTCCATTTTCATTATGGAATCATCGATCTCATTTTCAAACTCTTCATTCATGATTTCAGTGGTTTTATTAATTTCGTTATCACGGAAAAACTGCTCTTTGAGCTTTCTATTAGCCATTGCAAGTTTAAGCTTAGCACTTGGATTATTCTTCGTCTCTTTCGTTTCCGTGTCATTTTCTTCAATTATAAGTAATGGGTTGTCCATTTACTTTCGTTTAATGCCAGGAATCAATTTTTTGCCGGAATTAAGTTTCTGCTTTCAATCTAAAATATTATGTTATTCATGAATCATGTAGAAAAGCACAGCATAAGTACACAAGAATTTGAGTTCATCAGAAAATTTACTTTGATCGCTGATACTATTTAATTTTATAATCGCAAACACCTGGCATAGTGTAAAAGGCTGAAACACACCTACAATTGCCACTTGTTGTACTAGCGATTTGTCATAATAATTATATTTTCAAATTTGATGAATTCATTTTTAATCACAGACTTTTACGAAATATAATTCAAGTTGACCGAAACTTAATTTTTCATTTTTTAACAGATGCTGACGACATACTACATTTGTACCTAAGTCTATCTATACGTCTATCTTTATTAAGTGACCACAGTCAACAAAATAAAAGCAGGTTAAATTTTTTCTATTTAGTTCACTGTTTGTAGGATCTTGAGCAGTAAGTGTCTAATGTATCAGAAGGAGTCAATGGATATGTAGAAACAGAATCATAGAATAAATCGACTAAATTTTAAAGCAAATTTATATCCAGGAAAAAATGCGCTTTCATCAGTCTATTGATGCCTTTTTTATATTCACACCGTTTTCACGTGTGAATATATTGGTTTTGTTCAGATTGAAAAATCAGTTTTTCGCATTTTGTGAGAAAACAAAGCAAAATTGGTTATAAAAGGTCACAGAAGAAAAGTTTGTGCCTGAAATTTTACATCATTTTCAAAAAACAGATTTCAAATTGGTTGTGGCATTGCTGAGAAAATCGCAAAATACGCTTTCTGTAAGCAAACAAGCAAGCAAGCAAGTTAATCAGCAAGAAATCTCAATAACGAGACATTGTAGAGACTTCTAGTTTTTTACAATTGATCCGTGCTGCTCTTTAGAAGAGCTGTATTGTTTTTGGGCAAGGTAGGAACAGCCGTTGCTTCAGAAAAAGCAAAAAACTTTCCTTTCTTACGAATTTTTCAAATTAAAAGTTCACTGTGATTTTTTTGATTTTTTGAAAAAAATTTTTTTGAGCAAAGAACCAAGAAGGAAATACATTTTCAATTTTGAACTAGGGGTGACCCTAGTCAAAATCAATTTTGTCACTTTTTTCTTCGAAAGTTTATCCAATTACAGTGAAACTTTGTGTGAGTATACTAATATTTATAAAAAACAGTTTTAAATATCTAAAGCAAGAAATGTATTCTATATGTCGTCAGACCCAAATTTTATAAATTTGGTTGTACATTCAAAAACAACGTGACTTAAAATTTTGTCCAAAAAAATGATTTTTATTAATTCAGAAATGTGTGACCTGAAAATTAGAATGCTCATACAAAGTTTTACTGTATTTGGATTTATCCTCGAAGAAAAAAGTGAAAAACTAGATTTTGACTGGACCTGTCCCAAGTTCATAATTGAAAATGTATTTCCTACTTGGTTCTTTGCTCAAAAAACTTTTAGAATGTTTTATTTGTATTTGTTTTAAGCACTAGAATATTTATGCAAAGTTTCAATCCATTTGGATAAACCCTCGAAGAAAAAAGTGACAAAATTGTTTTTGACTAGGGTCGCCCCTAGTCCAAAATTGAAAATGTATTTCCTTCTTGGTTCTTTGCTCAAAAAAATTTTAGTATGTTTTATTTGTAGTTTTTTTAAGCACTAGAATATTTATGCAAAGTTTCAATCCATTTGGATAAACCCTCGAAGAAAAAAGTGACAAAATTGATTTTGACTAGGGTCGCCCCTAGTCCAAAATTGAAAATGTATTTCCTACTTGGTTCTTTGTTTTAAAAAATTTTAGGATGTTTTATTTGTATTTGTTTTAAGTACTAGAATATTTATGCAAAGTTTCAATCTATTTGGATAAACCCTCGAAGAAAAAAGTAACAAAATTGATTTTGACTAGGGTCGCCCCTGTCAAAAAAATTTTTTGGACGTTTTATTTGAATTGATATAATTCTGACATAAATCACATACCAATATTACTTTTTGTAATGCATAGCTTAAAAAAACGAAATCTAAAATTTCGACTATCCCATCTAAATTTTGTTCATGCTCTTCACTGTGGAAACCAAAAAACAAATTCTTTATCTTAAAACTTTTGACAAAACAGCGACATAATTCAGGATTAATTACTTTTTAATAATATTTTTACATTTACGAGAAAATGTGGTTCAAATAAGTGTGAAGTATGGCCGAGATTTGGACCAAAATCAGCTATACTGGTTCATAGTGTTCCCGAGGGTGACAAAATTCAAACTAAGTGTTTTTGTAGCTGACATAATTATGACATAAATTAGGTATATCTTTTAAACTGTGTCGATATGGGTCTCGGCCGTACTTCACGCCCACCCTTCAAACTTATGCTGAGCAAATCTTGGTATATCCATAAGACTTTTGATGGTACGGTGTGAATATATCCGCATTGGGTTTCTACCCGATACACTAGTTTCTTTTGGCGAGTGATCAGCGAGAAAAAGCGATCACGATCTCAATAAACTGATTGTTTTTGTTGTAGTAAAAACAAGCCAAAAGTATTTTCGATGAATAATCAGCTGTTGGCTATTTAGAGCTGACAAACAGTCAATGTAAAAAAAATAAATTGAAGATATTTAAAGAGCACTAGTCACACAGTCTATCTCTGAACTTTTATTTTCAACTAAGAAATTTTTGTTGTTTTGCATCTTAAAATGTGACGAGAATGTGGCCAAAAATAATCTTTTTCACAAAAAAAAAACCTCAACCTTAAAGCTAGATCCATTTCCTCTCCAATTCATCAAGTGCTTGGCGAAAATTAAGACTAAATTTCGTGTCGCCAGAAAGACTTAAAGTGGATGTTTTCACTCATAATTTCTCGTTTTTCCATTTGTGTAAATGATGAAATCATGAGGAGTCATGACAAGTTGAGTATTTTTCAGTATTTTTATTGAAACCACGTGCAATTTAATTATTCTAGATAGTCGCTCATTATCGCTGACAGTTCAATTTGAAATATTTTATAACAATAGCAACAACTGACTTAAATCCAGTGCAAAGAGAGTCGCTTGTGATTTTTATTTGTTCTACTATTTACATTACACAGTGTCACGTTCACCGACTTTTCATCAACACACTCAACTATCTAAAATATCTATAGAAAATAATTGAGTTGAAGAATGCTCGACGGATTGAATTCAGTTCCATTCAGCAACATTTAAAAAATTATTAACGATAATTATAATTGGCTATAGTAAGCAATTCAATATAGTCATTAGGAAATCATTGAATAACAATTAGGTCTTTTATTTCCTTTTTTTTTGAAAATATTTCTAAATATTTTATCATTTCATGCTCATTTCATCATGATTAAAAACTTATTTGTAATAATTAATTATTTGAAGGAGATAATTCTCTTGTGAATGAACCGTTTTAGTTCAAATTGAAAAATTGAATTTTGAGCGGGAACGAAGCAAAATGACTAAAGTTATGCATAATACAAAAGTGTGTGCCTAAAAGTTTGCGTCTTTTGAAAAAGCAGATTTAAGCAAACAAGTTAATCAGCAAGAAATCTCAAAAAAGAGATATCGTAAGGACTTCTAGTTTTTTACATTCGATCCGTGCTGTTTTGTAGATGAGCAGAATTGTTGCTTTTATTTTTGGAAAGGTGGGAACAGCCGTTTTTTTTTAAATTAAACTTTGAATGGAAAAAATATTTAAAAGAATTTTAAGAATGTTTCGAACATCCATCTAGCTTTAAATCTTTAAACATGAGCTGAGCGTAGTTCAGCTAACCAGTCAAGCTTAAATTTTCAAACATAAGCTTTAAACCTTCAAACAGATACTGAGTGAAGCTTTAAACTTTCAAACATATACTGAGCCAAGCTTAGTCTATCGATGTGAATATGTCCTCATTGGGTTTCTACCTGATACACTAATTTCATTTTCATTTTGTATGGAATTCACTACGTATACATTCATCCTATAGACTCTCACAAGAAAAAAGTCACGTGGGTGATGTATTTTTTACTAAAAATGAAAATTATTAAAAAGACAAAGGATTTTATCTGGATGATTTGCTTTACTAATCAGGTTCTAATGTCACAGAATTCTCTCATTTTAAAACAAAAGAAAGTTGCATGCAAAGTATCTAGAGTTTGACTCCAAACTCTTTTTGGAAGCCACAATGAGTTCCAATTTTGTGATGCTAGTCGCGATCTTCATAATAAAGTTTATCTTGTATTAGTTTCCCTCGATATCTCTTTATTACTTTGTGTAAAGTCGTTAAGATGAAAATGAAATTTATGACCCACATCTCGTAAAAGCACTACAATGACAACTTTATAAACAGCCAATTTATTCTACAATTTTAATTTGCCGCCCACGACTTCATGTTATTCAATATTGAGTTCTAGCAATTTTATCATTAAAATCATTTTCATCATCATCCTCACATGATTCATTAAATTTTTATTGTTTGTTAGGATATATTTTTGGAACAGATAAATTGAGAACTCTGACTATTTGACATTTTGAGTTCTCATGATTAATTACACGTTCTGTCGTTTGCTTGAAATAAAAATGGATTCTCTGTTCAAAAAGAAAAGAAAATACGGCTACTGAACGCATGTTTTCTTTGTTATTATTAATTCCATATTACTTTCAGCTGACTTTTATCTACATCAGCTGATTGAAAATGCCGCATAGTACTAAATGCACACATTTAGCAATGATTCAATCGAGTTAATTGATATATAATATGGCAGGCAACACTGAACGAAACTAGCAACAAGCTTAGCTAGTCAACCTCAATATAACTGATCGTGTTTTATATCTATAAATGTACATTTGTGCACTTAAACCTACTGCACGTTTTTTATATAAATATATTGCATAATTTTAAAAATGTAAAGAGAAGTCTTAAGTGCGAGTTTTTTGTTTACAATTCATGATGTATTTGATTTATAAATTAACTTAGAAATCATCTGATATTGTTTAATGATTCA